CGTTTCATCTCCCAAGCAGCTGTTCCATAACACAATAGCATCATTATAACTTGGTCATGTTTCACGATGGTTAGCGAACTTAGGTCGTCGTCGCTCCTCCTAATGTGCAGACCGTCATTTGACTCTTGGAGAGCTCGCAAAGTAAAGCGGTCATAATATGCTTATAAAATATGCTGTTTTCATTTTAAATGCTTTTCTATAATCCATGACCTCCATCGACAAAAGTGCTTTGTCGCACTGTATGCCAAACTGCTGCGAACTGCATGCTTTTAAGCCGCTACAGTAACACAAAAGACTTGTGCAAACTCAAAATGATCAGCTAACGAAGGTCCGTTGACGGAGGCTGACAAAGCATTTTATGTTTTGTTTTATGCATAGGCCGAGGTGTCAAGCTTAGTTCGAAATCTTCCATTACAGAGCATAACTGGGCTCGGTTCTATTTTGCAGCAAACCGAATAACAGTATGATGTTGAAATGCTGTATTTCATGGATCGTGTACCGTCGAAGAAACAATTTAGCCGCAACGTTAAATATTCCATCTCTGTACCAGTTGCATGATTGATACTAATTGGGACAATAGTCGCAAATTATGACTAGTAAAAAAGTTGGGGGTCGGTCGTGACCGGCTCTGCTGCCGCACATAAGTAAATCTTACCTAAAAAATGTCTGTACCTTTCTCGCGTATCCGTAAATCATTTAGGTCCGTTAGATTTAGTAGCCAACGCCAGGTTGAACTCAGTGGCGTCTGACTGTGTGCTTCATGGATGGATGATAATTTTTCGGTTATTGTTTGTGCAAGCCCCACAGGAACAAAATTATTTCACGGGTGTGGCGTGATACCTCAATGCGCAAGAGACGACTTCAATCTCTGATTCCTTAAAATTGGATACAGTTTTTTTCTTTATCACCCAATTCCTCCGAGCAAGCAATTTACTAAATGTAGCTTCAGATCAGGATTATTCGATCACTAGAGCATTGGAGGCAAAAGCGACAAGTACTCTGTTCGAATCCTGATCAGAGTCATTCACTTTTTTTCCTTCTGAGGTTGACAAATAATTACCATTCTGATGAGTAGGAAGGAAAGAAAAAATGCAACCTGCTTGTCAAATAGCTGCAGTCGATTCTGCCTTTGAAAACGATTCGTTCTCGGTCGATGAGATGGAAATAGAGAACATCACCCTATCCATCAAATTCATGATAACAAATGCACTAGAATTGACCCTCTGCTCGACTTGACCTGACGGCCTCGCTCAAATCTTTAGTCGTTTGGTCGGCAGTGGCTGTCCATCAAAGACAGGTGTAAATCAATTGCAAAAAAAGTTTACCTGGCGAAGACGTCACATGCAAGTAATTAATTATCGTACAGAAGGCAACAAGGAACAAGCAAAGCGCCAGTTGTCTCAAAATACGTGTTCCAACCTCTTATACCCGATATACTGAACAACTGCATGGGATTTATCGTTGTCAGATCGTTATTTCGGTCAGTAACACAATGCCCTAATCGAGCCACACTGTTTTTACGATAGGAAAAGGACCGGGGCCGGCGGCAGCTGCATCCTCCACGGGTATGGGTCCTTGTTCGTCTCGAACAGGTGCTATCATTTACGTGGAAGAAATAGCACAATTTCATTGGTTACGCTTGATCACTATTTCATAGGTAGACCGTTTAGGCGACATCAACAGCTGTGCTATGCTGATCCAGAAAATTGTCCGTTCATCAGACGTGTGCAATGTTGCATTTGTTTTTCCTGCTAGTTACCACTTTCCCATAATCGCCTCTTCCGTCTCTGACTCTTTTATGAACAAGGTGTCTTAGTGGCGCAACTATAATTTATCCTTTGTACTATAAAACAACTGCATAGAAATTTCTCGACAACCCTTCATCCAAATTGTCGCAGGTACTATAGCAATAGTTCTCGACCAACTACAGTGCTCTTACTACTGTACATGCCATTAACAACAACAGTACAGATGAGAAAGTCTAACAGAGCAAACATGTTATCAGCGAGTGTGCGGAAAGCGAACATTAACGCAAACCAATTTATATCTACCGTACAAGACAGGTTAGCTTGCAGATGCTCCTTTCTTGGATCATCAACAAATAATTATATTCACTGAATCTGAGAGGGTTGTTTCTTTGAAGAATCCTTTGGTTGTCTCAGTTACGGCCTTCTAGACAACCGTAAGGCTAAGGGAAACGAGACATCTCAGAGAGCTACCTCAGTTGTGCCAAATCCCCTTTAATCGCTTGAAAGTAACGTCTGGTAGTAGAAAAAAATAAGGAAACACTGCAGTAGCTGAAAACTAAAATTTTCCTAATAGTTGAAGTTTCTTACTCAACACCGCAATCAAAACAAAAACGTGAAAAAAATCGAAAAACCATAAAATGAAAATTCACGTATTCAAAACATTTATACAACAATAAGACGGTATACAAAGCAAATCCAAAGTAGATCAAAACAAAACTTTTCGGTGGTTCTTAAAGAAAGAGGGCCCTCATCGCTTCCTCTTTATCGTCTTTTGTTTCAATTTAACCATTTCTTCCTCGTTTAGAGAGTTTTTCGCACGGTCAGCTAAAATCAGCGTAAACTGGTTAAAAAAAGTAAAATTTCCCATATTCAAACTTGCCCTTCTTCGCTTCTTCTTCTAATTCGCTCCAACTTTTGCCGCTTTCTTCTGAGCTCACCTCTTCTGATTCTAAAGCAACACAAAAAGTAATATTTTTTCAGCGTCAGCGTTTCCGTATTTTCACGTGTAAGTGATAAAGATATTAAATTCAACAACAATTTTAAGGGCTGAATACAAAATAAAATAAAGCAAAAGTACCTTCGAATTAATTATCAGAAACCATTCTATGCGATGAAAAATTCAGGTTTTCCTTCGGTAAATTTGATCAACAAATACTTCGATTGATGATTATTTGATTATGGACGGAGATGTTAAGGAAAATTCGCCGGAAATGCCACCTTCTGCAGCAACCATTGCACAAAATGCGCCTGCCCGACTGAACTAGCTAATCTGTCAGATAAGCCACCTATGCATTCTTCCAGAATGCACGAAACAGACCGTTCAGGTTTAGCAGCTGTACAGAAAAGATGCGTTACCATCCGGAGTGGTAATCCGTCTATGCCAGTATGTACTGAAACTAATTTGATTTTCAATGTAGAGTGCGTGTGATCTAAATGTGATTTTTACCACAGTACATCATAGGTTTCATAGTACATCAATGCCAGTGGTGTTAAGGCTTAGAAACAGGGGTTTGCTCATTAACAATCTAGTAAAATCGCGATATTATTGGTTTAGACTGAATCGCCTATCAGTTTCACTGCATACTGGAATGGATTCAATTACGAATTAACTTAGTAATTGGATCTACGAACTTCCTATTCATGACTCACTTTTGGTCGAGGTTCGCTTCGTAAAAAAATGTGCAGATTCGCAGCTGCTTGCTAAGGTAGAAAATGTGACACTGACTTGTTTCCTTCAATTTCTCAGCCCAGACGTTCTTTGTGTTTGTTATGATCATTACTTCGAACCGTTTGCATATGCAAAACGTCTCTGGACTGTGACGTTCACCGCATTCTCAGCTTCTCAACATTTGCGTTATACGACAACAAACAGAAAACAACTTTTCTCCAAAACGAGTTATCTTAACCCTTGTGACTAACATACTTCAGTAATTAAGATTTTAATAAGCACAATTGCTCTTCATTGTCTGAAATAAATTTTTCCTCTATATTGCAACAAAATTCATTGCTGTACAACGTAAAAATCTGATTTGACATTTCAGTAATGCTTTATACACAGTATTTTAAAATATGTGGGAAACACGATTCCTTTGAGAGCTAAAAACCAGTCAGATTTCTTAACACCGAAAATAATTCGAAGTTCATTTTGGATTCACAAATTACCATCTCAAGGACAGTTTTCGTGGAGAATCATGTTCACAAATTGAGGGATAATTGTATAAAAAAGTACCGCTTTCAGTAGTAGCCTCTGATTCATAATCTTCTGATTCTTCCTCTTCCTCTTCGTCTTCAACTTCATCGCCACTTGGTTGATAAGTCTCATCCTCGTCTTCAGAGAGAGACTCGTCCTGAGTTTGAGAGTCGTCCTAAACACAGTTTTGACGCAAATAAGAAATCGCTTACGAATCGTCCTTAAAGTTTGACCATTCGAGTCGAAGCAATACTTAAATTCATTAAATCTAAGCAGAAAATGCTATCGCTACTGCAAACGGATAGTCACTTATAAATTATTTTGTTTACGCCACCGTTCGGAACAGAGCAACATCGAAGATACCTTACAAATCGAACCCTGCCAAAATGAACGTTCACAGAGGGATGCGCGATACATAACAATACAAAAAAACCGGTAACAAAATGCTATTTTAAGAGGTACTGCCGTTACAACAAATAAAACCCCAGTGGACGAACAGATGAAACTATCATATAAAGAATTTGTGGTACTATAAAAGCCAGGGTGATCCTGACCAGGTAATCTTCATCGAATAAAATCTCGAATCACAGTCGACCTGACTCTTAAGCAATAGTGTCGATATCTGCACAACAGAACCATGATTCTGCTATAAGCAGATGAAAAAGGCTTGAAGAAACTTGACACTGACTGTAACCTCTAAAAATAAGAACACTTC